TGGGTGCTGGTCTGGCCGGCGACGCGCGTGCCCTGTGGCCAAACACTGCCCGGAGTGAGAGCAAACTACCAGCGCAGTGGGGCCGGCGCGAGTGTGTGCGTGTGCGTGTGTGTGCGCGCGAGCGCGGGGGGGTGGGGTGGGGGATCAACTGCTTCACACTTCTCAACACTGCACTGAAGAGGAAGAGAGAGAGAGGGAGGGAGAGACAGGAGACGCACAGATTGCCCCCAAGATCTCCCAAGGCTACCGTCCCACAGATTATAGAACAGAGCCCCAAAAATCGAAACAGAGGAACCGGACAGCGATTGAACATGGACGAAGGAATTCCTCATTTGCAAGAGAGACAGTTACTGGAACACAGAGATTTTATAGGGTAAGGTGCAGCACCGTTGCGAATATCTGCCTGGGCTCCGGTTTGATTTTTTTTTTTTTTTCCTCCAGAAAGTGGTATGGAGCGGGTTAGGGCAGAGCCCCTGCCAATGGGTGCCTGATGCTGATTTATGTTTTGTAGATTGGACTATTCCTCTTTGTATATGTGTAAACCCAAAAGGAGCATGAAGCGAGACGACAGCAAGGTAAGTGTAAGTTTCCGATGTTTCCCATACCCTGCCGGATAGTTAATTAGGGCCATTGATTTCGAAATGAAGCTCTGCCCGAAAATATATTCCAGTCCCGGAGCTTCTCCAATTGTGAATTTTAAGTGGCTTACTGGATACTCTCAGGGGGATATTAAACATCATACCTGAATTTAAATTGCAGTTCAAAACAGTCCAGAGTAAAGAGGTTTCCTGGGCATAGTTTATAACATAGTATGGGGGGGGTGGTTACAGCTACTGAGTCAATGTTTAGCTTACTGTTTTTTTCTTTTCCACTGCTCACGTATTAAGGATACCTACAAATTACCGCACAGATTAATAGAAAAGAAAAGAAGAGACCGAATTAATGAATGCATTGCACAACTGAAAGATTTACTGCCTGAACATCTGAAATTGACAGTAAGATGCACATTTTCATTCTTTGATGCTCTCCAATGGCGTTTTAATAGCCTGGTAGGACTCCCAGAGATACAGGGATAAATGTAAATATTAGAGGCCTGACTTACAACTTGTGCTATGATGTACAGAGTTTCCCACGGATTTAGAATGGGGCAAGACATCATTTAGGACCTGCCTTGAGGAAAGCTCAAGAAGTGTTAAGAATAGTAGTTCTTTCAGGGTGTTTGCCTGAGTTGCTGTGCTCAATGGAGAGCCAATCAAGCCTGTTTCTAAGTAACCAAGCACCCCTTTTCTTTTGCACACTGCAGACTCTTGGGCATCTGGAGAAAGCAGTAGTCTTGGAATTAACTTTGAAACACTTAAAAGCTTTAACAGCCTTAACCGAGCAGCAGCATCAGAAGATAATTGCTTTACAGAATGGTAAGTCAGTTCAGGGCAGCTCATAAGGTGGCAGTGTGGTAAGATTCCCCCCTTCTCCGGGCTCACTCTCACTTGTGAAAATTGCGTATACTTTCCGTTCACTGGAGAATGCCCATTTCCCGAAGCATTCAAGAGGCTGCGGGGACTCAGGGGAATCAGATTTTTATTTAAAGTGGCGGTTGCGCCCTCTCCACTTCGGATTTTCAGCGGGGAGGAGAGCGCCCCCCTCCCCGCGCGGCTCCCTGACCCCGCCACCCCCTTTCTCTCGGCAACCGGTGGATTATATCACTGGAATACTGAGGAAAAACCGAGAGCACTTTAGTCAGTGCAGGGCCCACGTGATAAGCAGATGTTTTAACGTCGGTATTTTTCTTCTCGCCTCCATTTCTCTGCCCCCCGCCCCCACCCCGTTCGCCCCAGGGGAGCGATCGCTGAAGTCGCCCATTCAGTCTGACTTGGATGCTTTCCATTCGGGATTTCAAACATGCGCCAAAGAAGTCTTGCAGTACCTCGCCCGGTTTGAGAGCTGGACACCCAGGGAGCCGCGGTGTGTCCAGCTGATCAACCACTTGCACGCCGTCGCCACCCAGTTCTTGCCCACCCCCCAGCTGTTGACTCAACAGGTCCCTCTGAGCAAAGGCGGTGGCGCCGCCCCGGCCGCCGCCCCCGTGGGGTCCCTGGA